AGGCTTCCTCAAAGAAGGGCTGGCTCCACTGGTGGGAGAGTCGCAGTTCCCTACTGTTCAATTACTGTGTTAATGGTGAAGTGCAACTGGTTCGAGGCAGAAGTAGGATTATTACTTAAATTTTAAATCCTACTGTTTTATTGTAAAAATAAATGTTTTATGGGGAGGTAACAGCTTAGCATGGCATTTCTTTCCATTGTGGTTCCAGGCAGTAATTAGCAATACAATCATTTCTTCCCTCAGCTTGTTTGCCATGAACTTGTTCCTGGAGGGAAGACCATTCCCGTTACCAATGAAAATAAGTAAGTACAGCAATTAGATTTTTAAGGTCACCACTGCAAAATACTTCATTCTAGTTCCTTGGGCTTGCATCTGGAATGAATTGAGATAGATTGGAGTAGAAGGAGCACATAAATATCTTAATAGAATTTACTGGTTACAGTTCATCGGCAGAAATCGTATTATATTCGATTTGCAAAATAAAAATTGACAATTTACTTCTTGAAACAGCGCTTCTGAGGTCAAAGGCACACAGCCTGTGAGATTCTGCAGGATTTAATGATGGTGATAGATACAGACAGATGGATTCAAAGCAATTCAGGCACACAGTCGTGAACATAGAGGGCACAGATGCTCAAAGACACCTTGGAGCAGACAGATCTTCTCAGAATGATAGCATGTGGCAGTTGTATAAAGCACTGTTCTTCAGAAGAGGCAGTGGTGAATTCAAATGTAGTCGACAGTCGTACTTTAGACACAGGAAATCAGAGGAGACACCGAGCCCTGTAGCTATTTTCACAGATAACCGGCTTTTAGATAGTTATCGTAAATGTCAACTCCGGAGCCTGAAAACCAAACCCACCTTTTTGTTCCCTTCATTTTTTTTTTTTTCCTTCTCTATACCCTTCAGTGATCATAAAAGCAGGATAAAATATCTATTAAGCAGATGTGTGTTTGAACTGGTAATCTGGGGGTTGTTCTCTTTAATGGCAAGTGAAAGCTGGATCCCACCTGAGGATTTGTCTTTGTTAGTGTGCTTTCCAATCTGATGTTTCCAGTCTTTTCCTTTCTTGAGCTCTGACCAGGGAGTTTGCATTTGAAAGGATCTTTCTCCGGCTTGTCAGAAGGCAGCTCAGGGAGAAAGTTGAAAGTCCTGTATGTTACTCTACTCGCTTACAGCAGAAACTTTGAAGCTTTTGTGCAGATGTGCACACAAATTGGTAGTTGGGAGGGAGCAGGAGAAGCGTTCTAAGTGGAAGCAATCTAGAAACAGCTCTGCCTGTTAATGGCGGAGTGAGGTTACCCAGTTGAAACCCCAGCCAATGTGATTGTGGTGGTATCTGCCTAGGAGCTGATGAAGAAGAATCAGCAAGCTCGGTTGTTTTGACTGTTGGTGAGAAGAGGAAGCCTGGTGGTGCCTCCCTCTAATAAACAGTGTACCTCTTCCATACTCCTGGGATGAAGGTGGAAATCTCCTAAGTGTTTTTTGGGGTGTGGATTCTCCAGACATGGGTTTCAGTGCAGATGGTTTTTTTTCAAAGCTAGAGGAGTGCCTGTGACTGGGGATCTGATCCTTTAAAGAGAGGTTGGACGCATGCTCCCCTCTGTAAGCTGCTGTCCAGCCAAGGTTGATCATGTGGTTATTAGAGCCAGCTAGTCTCTGGGTTGGGGAGAAGCTCTAAGAAATGAGCAGACAGTCCCAGAGACGGGGGGTGAGGGGCAAAGCTGGGGCACAAGAACAGCTCCTTCTGCTTAAATAAAGAGCAGGGCCCTAAAGGGGAAAGTGTAATGCATCTCTGGGCAATGCTAGTGCCTTTTGGGCTGGAGAGGCAGGTCAGCAGCCTTGTTCCTGCACCGCCGAGGTGCTCCAGCTCCCTCAGTGCCACCTTCCCTGTCGCACGCAGGATCAGCTACATCCATCTCATGGCTCACTTCCGGATGCACACGCAAATCAAGAGTCAGACGGCAGCACTCATCAGCGGATTCAGGTCGATCATTAAGCCTGAATGGATCCGTATGTTTTCTGCACCAGAGTTGCAGCGGCTGATCTCCGGTGACAATGCTGAGATTGACCTCGAGGACTTAAAGTAAGTGAGGAACTTGGTCTGCTGGTCTTCCCGCTCAGCAAGCCAAGCCGTTTTATTACACAGCTATTTGGAGGTTTGCAGGGGACTGACTCTCACAACTTTCTGCTTCTCCTAATTGAAATTTGCAGAGCAGACAAAAACGAATGGAGCTGAAAATCATGTTCCTTAAACATGTTCCAAATTTGGACAAAGTACTAATGAATGGGAAGGGTCCTTTCTTCCACCGGCTCCTAAGCAGAATTTCTCTCTGCCCTCCCCTTTTCTCTCCCCAGAAAACACACGGTGTACTATGGGGGCTTCCACGGCAGCCACCGGGTCATTATCTGGCTGTGGGACATCCTAGCCAATGACTTCAGCCCTGAGGAGAGAGCCATGTTTCTCAAGGTAAATGCAGTCCTTTCAGCCCAGCCTGCCATTTGGGGTGCTTGGGCCAGCGCTGTTCTCCTCCTGTTAGCTGGCTGCTTGCTGTGCTAATAGCAGGAGTGTCAGAATGCTTGATGCCTTAAAATCAACATCCTGCTGCCCTGCAGAGGGGCAGCTGTGGAAGCAGAGTTCCTATAAATGCTCCTGTGTCACCACGAGGAGTCCCGTTTCCAAAGGCTAGCAGAGCTGTGCACTGAAGCTCAGCAGCGTTGTACCAGGGGGTGCTCAAATGCCAGCCCCAGCAGCTCCTTGCTGCAACTGCGTTAGCTATGAGCCTGTTACAAGCAGGCTGCTCTCACTGCTGCTGTCTTTCACTGTCCCATCACTTTTTCAGTTTGTTACCAGCTGCTCCAGGCCTCCACTTTTGGGCTTTGCCTACCTCAAGCCACCTTTTTCCATCCGCTGCGTGGAAGTCTCTGACGATCAGGTAGGCACCCTGCTTGCTCATGTCTCATGTGTTCCCTGCCAGGCTTCTGGCAGCCTCCTTCCCCACCCAGCTTCCTGATCTCTGTCTGACCAGGAAACTCTAAAGCATAAAAACACACTCTCTGTAGGGCGAGGTGAAAACAACCTTACACTAATAGGATGCGTATGGCTGCACCTACCTCCTCCCACACACAGCCGCGCTTGGGCTCTTTTTGCCTGTCTCCAGGGTTGTGTTTCCTCCTCGGGACCTCCCTGTGCCCCATGCCTCTGATCCTGCTCCCCTGTGCACCCTGCGAAGGGACCTTGGATGTGTAATGGCAGTTGCGGTTACAAGAGAAGCTCCTTTCTAGCTGTTGTGGGGGACGGGGTTTGAGGTTTGACTCTCCGTGTTCCCAGCAGACGAGTTTCGTGTTAGCACCTCTGCCCTGTGTGTAGGCACCCTGCTTGGAGGGAGCACAGCAGGGAATTGCAGGGGTGATGCATTTCTGCCCTGTTCCAGGACACGGGTGACACGCTGGGCAGTGTGCTACGGGGCTTCTTCACAATCCGCAAGAAAGAGCCAGGCGGGCGTCTCCCAACCTCCTCTACGTGTTTCAACCTCCTCAAGCTTCCCAACTACAGCAAGAAGAGCATCCTGCGGGAGAAGCTGCGCTACGCCATCAGCATGAACACTGGCTTCGAGCTGTCCTAGTTGCCATGGCCCTGGACTCTGCAATGGGGGCTCTCAGAGCTGCTGACTGCTGCTGGAGGTGGAGGCCTTCACACACAGAGGGTGGATCAGCTCCGCGGGAGCTGACTGCTTGTTCGAAGGCTGGAGAGATGCAGCTGATAATAGAAGTTTACAGGGAAGAGCTTTTGGGCTAGACAGGGCTGGCTCTTCTTGGGCATTTCTCCAGGATGAAGGAGCTGATGGGCCTGACCCAATACACTTCACTTGACACCCACGTAAATCGTCTTTAAAAGCAAACCCCGGGGGAGCAGAAAAGGAACATTAAAAGTGCCAGTCAGATTAGTGACTGTAATACCCCCCAGCAGGCTGTGCAGTCTGGGCAGCTGCTGCTGTGGGAGTGTTTCTTTTTCCTTTCCCAGGAGATGGTCCAGTTTCTTACTGGGTGGAAGTCAGTCTGTGGGAAGCTGCACAAAGGCAAAAACATGACAGAGCCCACAGGGAGACGAGCACGAGGCTGCAGCATTGGATGTGCCACAAATGGGCACTGTTTATTCAGGACGGGTACTGCGTGGGGGCTTCCCGATGCCTTTGCTCTGTGCGAGGCCTTTGCATTTGTCTTGGAGAAGGAACCACTGGCCCAGACTCGAGAAGCAGCAGGTTAAACGCAAGCAGATGGACCCTGCCATTCTCAGGAAGGCTTCAGAGTGCTGTAGGTTAAGAGCTCAAGCAGCAGGCGTGGGGGTCAGCGTGCTGAGCCAGCTGTGCCTCTGCCAAGCTCTTGCCAGAGCCTGTGCTTTGGACGAAAGTGGTTGTTGCCTGCATTTGCTCAGGAGCAGAAATGGTTTGATTTTTATTTAGTTTCCGGAGGACAGGAGCTGGCGCACAGCTCGGGCAGCCCTCGCTCCCCAGCACAGCGCTGAAGTGGGGCAGGTGCCCCCCGCGCCCTCTGGAAGGGGAATGTGCCGAGCTGCTGAGTGCCCTCGGGAAACCTTCGCTGGCAGAATTCCTCTTACTTGGATAGAAGTTTCACTTTGTTTGCAGGCTCTTTTGTTAGGGAGATGTGCTGTTTCGAACCAGGACTTGGCCTCTGCGTAACAGCCGCGTTTGCTTTGTTGCCAAACTATTTATTTTGGTTGCTTTGTCTCTTTCTGGCCTTATTTTTAATCGTTGATGTTTGCCTGTAGCAGGCAGCTTTTTCAGGTTGTTCCAAAAGTGAGGGTGTGAGTGGGGGTGTGCGCACGTGTGTGTGTGTGTTTGGGAAGGCGTGGACCCTTCCTGCCATTAATGAAGTCCAGAGCCTGATTTGCAAAGCGTCCCTGCAGCTTCCCAGCCCTGGTCCCTTGTGCTGCTGCAAGTCCTGCCTTGGCCCGGGCCGGGCGGGAGGAGAGGCTGCCGTCTCCTGGGCTGCTCTGTCCTTGCTGGGTTTCTGGCACGAAGGAAAGCCATGTACGTTCTCCTGTTCGGGACAGGATTAGAAACCAGTCACCTTCTCCCCTTCCCCTCTTCCTGCTCACTAAGAAAACAAGCCCCCCCCGAGGCTGCTGGTGTCTCCCCCTGGACTTCCCTTCCCCTCCTTACCTTCCTGTGGCCCTGGTGACCCTCGCCCTGCGCTCGGGCCCCTCCGCACCGTACGGGCAGGTCGGCTCGGAGCCTTGCTGCACAGGTCAGCTGGCAGCAGCAGCTCCAGCACCAGGCTGCCGTACCCTACCTCATCCTCTGGCTTGCCTTGGCCCATCCCGCGGGCATCCGCGTCCCCAGGCATGCTCAGCGTGGCACAGGTCTCCGCTCGGAGAAGGCTCCCTGGGCTCTTTGGAAGACCCTCTTAACCACGATACGTTGCACATTTCAAACAGACCAGAAAATACTGGGCAGCCTTCAACCAAGAGTATAGAGGTGGCCTTTGCTTCATCTTCTGTCTTGCTTCAGCTGATTCTCAGAGCAGTAACCCTTTTTTTAGAACCACTGCCTGGAATTGCATCTGGAAAGCAACGTCAGGATCCTTTTTCTACATCAACCCAGTGATAATAAACAGGAGTGATGGGAAGTGTTAGTGAGGACAGGAGTGTCTGCGTTCAGAGGATTCACGATACTGGACCGAGTCCAGAGAAATTAAAGATGATAGTAAATTTTTGGGGTGGGTAATTTTTTATTTTTATTTTTTATGTAGAGCATTTCGGCGTTAGCGAGTGGCTGACCATGTAGTTGAGAGGTTTGGGCACTGACTTGTACCAAGCGTAGTTTAAAATACCACACAAGATCTTTTGTTTCTTCTAGGGATATGCAATGTCGAAACAGAGCACAATGATCGTTCAGTGAAGTGAGTTGTTGAACACAGCGAAATAAAATCTTTGCTCCCCTTTCTTTCTTCGTTCCTCAGGAGTACAATTCCTAGAAAAGATCTTAATGCAGACTTAGCTAGGTCCCTCCGAACCTGGAAATATTGCACTACGAGACACTACATCCAATTTTGTAGCTAGCGTATAAAATGTGATTGTCTAGTAACCGCCCTGGTGGCTGTGTGTGCAACAATAATATTTCTCTTGAGTAGCTGATTTCTGTATGACTGGGAGGCTTTAATACATTTTTACCTGAGCAGTAGGCTGCAAATGTGTATGGGTCCCTGCCTGCGCCGCTGTATTCTGCGCGGGTGATCTTTGCGGGGCAGGGATGGTTTTGCCGTGGGAGATTAATGACTATTTTTTTCTATAGAAGACTTGCTGCTGCGGAGATCTTGGTTACATCTCTTGTATCAGAAACGCAGAGAAGAGAAAAATAAACCCGGTATGAGGAAGATGATTGGATGCCTCCTCTTTTTGTCTCCTTTCCCTGGGCATGCTCCTGCTCAGAGCACAGGGGAGAGCAGAGCTCTGGGGTGCTGGTACCTCTGCGAGGAGGGGGATGGAGGCTGCTGGTCCCTTGGAAATCCCTTTTCTCAGGCTGGTTCCTGGTGTGTGTGCTCGGGTGTCCCTGAGGAACGGACTCCCTGGGGCGCTGCTGGTGGTGGCTGTGTGCCCCTGAGTCCCAAGGGACCCAGCAGGGTTGTTTGAAGCAGGATTTGTTCTTGTGGATTGGAACGTGCTCCTTGGCCCTGCAGGGCGCTGTGGCTTCAGTTGTTGGTACCTTCATGAGCATGCGGGTGCTCCTGGGATGTAGGGGTGGTGAGCCCGGCCCAGGGCAGCGGCTAGCAGTGCTCTCTGCACGACTGGTCAGCTGGGAATGCTGACTGGGGCCACTGGTGGAAACGAAACTGCACTAGAAAGCCAAGCAAGACCCCCCCAGCGTGGGAGAGCGGGGCAGCGTGTGTGGCTGCAGATGCCCCATCGAGTGAGCGCTCTTTCCCAGGAGTTTGCTGCGGGTAGAAGCTGGAGGTCGGTGGCAGAGCTGTCTGCCTACGGAGGTTCTGCTCCAGAAGCCAGGGCTGGGTCTGGATGGCCAGCAGGGCACCAAGGAATGTGACGCCTCTTGGTTGGGGAGGGAGAAGAGGCACAAGGAGATGCGGGTTTGTGGGGCAAGGCTGTGCTTTCTATTTTAGAAGCTGCCCTAAGGACCAGGTGTGGGAGCTGACACGGGGTTTGTTCATAATAATGTTATAATAATACAGGCATTGTGTTTCTCCCCTGGTGTGGCTCTGGGAGCATCCTGGTAGGAATGAGGAGCTGTGCTGCCTGCTGCTGCTCCAGTTGGCCCCCTCGCCCATGGAATTCAGGTTTGGTGCGTGGCAGCACAGCCCTTCGCTGACCGGCTCCCCCAGCTTCGGAGCCGCGCTGCAGCCTCCCCTGCCCAACCTTACCGTGCCGATTGTGCGCGCTCGCCCCCAGAGCGCGGTGCTTGGGGCCAGCCCTGTGGGCGCTCGGGCTTCGCTGGGGAGAGGGAGCTCGGTGGGAGCGAGGGAGAGGGCTCCCAGTCAGTGTGCAAGCGCCATTGTTTTGACACGGAGGCATATGGCGCCGTCAGAAACGGCAAAATGAAACCCCACAGCAGATGCTGCCAAGGCAGAAAGCTGGCAGCAAGCAGCCGGGCCTGCAAAATGCCTGCCTCGCCATCGCTGCGTGGCGGGCCAGCGCGGCACGGTCTTGCCAGGGCTGGCTCTGCGCACGCCGCCGTACCACGGTGAAGGCTGACTGTGGCCGAGGCGCTTGGACCGCATGCACGCTGGGCGCTGCCGGGTGCGGAGCTGGGAGGGATCGCCGGCGGCTGGAGCTCCCTCAGCGGCGGGGCTGGCAGGGAGCGGTGCTGGGGTGTCCCAACCGCGGCAGCCGCTGTGCGGGCAGGCCCTGGCCGGGGGCACGGCACCGTTGCCACGGTGCAGGCACAGGCGTGTTTTGGGAGCAGACAGCTCTTCTTGCTGCTCCTTTTCTGCTCCTACAGACTGTCCCAAGCCATTTCGTACCCCTGTCTTGCACAACCTCTTGGCCCGTGCTCTGTGCCAGGGCTGGTTGCAAGTTCGGACGGAGAGGGAGGAGGGTGTGCTGAGCTCTGGTTGCCACATCCCTGAGCAGAGCGAGAGGAGGTATTCCTGCAGCTCATTTTTGTGTTTGCTTCCTTTTACGGAGACACGCAGCAGCAGCAGCTCCTGCAGCGCCTTAGGGACCTGATTTAGGTCAGACCTACAGGCACTGGCTTGGCACCGCCGCCTCCTGGGCGAGGGGTGTTTAACGCTGGCTGTTCAGAAACGCGCTTCTGGGGCTGTTTCTCAGGTCAAGTTCTTTGATACTGCCCCTCTGCAGCTCCCCCTTCACCCCAGGGCGGTTGAGGTGCTAGCTATGGCCCCGGGAGCCGCCGTAGCGGGGACAGGGCACAGAGGAGGGCACTTTCTACCAGGTTGCAGCAGAGGGAGGGCTGAGGGACGAAGAGGGCCCTTTCCTCAACACAAATGGGCTGAACCTGCTTCTGATGCAGGGACGGTGGCTCTCACCCTGGGGCACCCCAGCTGCACCCCTGCCCTTTTCTAGCCAAGTCTTGCCTTGCTGTAGTATGAGCTGTTTGGGTGGGGAGGATTTTTCTTTGACCCCTTCCAGGCAAAAAATGGGTATTACAGGGCCCTGCGGCTGCAGAGAACTTGATCTGATGGCAGATGTGGTCCCTTCTGGTCCTCCAGCCCAAGAGGAGGGGTGCAGGACTGCTGCTGGTTCCCCATTGCCAGGGCTGTGCCCCCCCAAGCCCTGCCCTTCAGCAGCAGCAAGCACCAGGCTGGGGGGGCCAGCGCATCCCGTCGAGGTGGGGGCGCACACAGCCCTTCCTTCTGTGCATTAGCAGAGGAAACGCTGCCTTGTATAAATTTACATATGACTTGGCAAAATGTATGTTTGTGTCATTTCTGCAAGAGCAGCAGCCGGCTCTGCTGCTTACACATTGTGGCGGTAATAGAGGTGCTTGAGTTATAGTGAAACTTATTTCATTTTACAGCTCCTACAGCGTTAACAGATGTACGGGCGTCTGATCCAATCATGCAGCACGAGATTTTTGGGGCCAGTTCTTCCAGTTTTGACAGTGTGTAAGCCAGGAGCAGCCATACATTTTACAAACAAGAATAAACGACCCTTAGCAACATATGTCTGTGCTGGCAGCTCCAACGTAATCATAAATAAGGAACCCTGCTAGGCAGGAATGTATCCGGGCTCCGCATACGGTCAGTACGGACAAAGCATCTGCCTTCCTCCCGTTATATTAATGAGGTGCAGGCACTGGAATCCCTATGCTCTACGGCTGCGTTTGCTGGATGGGGACAAAGGACTTGGAGGAACAAATGCTAACCCAGAGCAACGGAGCTTTATTTGTTTTAAAGCCTGTATTTCATTTTAGCGATGCTTTGCTCTTGTCCCCCGTCTCGCCAGGCTCTCACATGTTACCGCAGTCGCCAGCTTGGCCGTGCTGGAACTTCTTTGCTGAACCTTCACCACTGCTCTCTGCTCCCAGCCCAGTGCGGAGGCCCAAGGACCCAAGCCTTGCTGCAGCTTAATGGCCGGTGGCTCCCCCACGTACCGTGGGGACAGCACTTAGGACAGAAAGGTCCCTTTTATGCAGCCAGGTGCTGTAGGATGCCATGGTGAAGCAGAGGACAAACCATGTGCGCTGCAAACTCTCAAAGGGCCAAGCGTGGCCCCTGTGGAGCTGAGCTGCAGCAGCGCACAGGGCTGGGACCACGCTCAGCCTGATCTCTGCTCGCTCCTAAATTCAAGCCCTGGCCTGCTGTGCTGCCTAACGGAAAGGACAGGGTCACCCCAGACACCAGCCTCCCCCTGCGTCAGCCCCGCCAAAACAATTGCAAAGACGTCTTCGGGTAGAAAGGGAGAGCGGGGGAGCTGGAAGCTGAGTGCACCCTAATAAATTTAATCTCTACATCACATTAAAGTGTAGTAGCTAAATTTATTTCTCCTTCCAATCAAAACAATACTCGCTTCGGTCCCAAAACAGTAGTGAGATTTCTTCCCCCCAGCTGGAAAAAAAGAAAATACTATAAATCCATCCCAGAGCTGATTTATATAGCATTCATGAAGAATTTATATTGCAAAGAATTTTATTCAATTAAACTTGAAAAGCCCCTAGATTCTTGAGGTTCAATAGTGATCACTGAGACAGAGCTATCATAAAACTGGATGGCCTGTCTGGAGCAGGCATTGAGAAAATGTCTGATGTGACATTGCAGCTGACGGTACAGTCCAAATCAAGAGCATTTGTCATTGGGATGTGTTACAGGCTAAGGCTTGGAAAATTACTCTGTGAAAAATGTGCATTAACAATAGCCATGAAATATCTGTTTAAAAAAAAAGGGGGGGGGTGAATAATGAGACAGCGGTATCTATTAGCGCCGGGCATTCTTCACTCTGACCCCACTCTGATTAAAAAGTTAACACGAAAGCCAGAGACTCTTTTGGGAAGGAAGTTTAAGGTTGTTTCTACTTCAGTAATTGAAGAGAGGAAGCTGCGTGACTGACTGAAAAGCTCCCACCACCAGAAGTGGCACCCTGAGCACAGGACAAGCACCCTTGATGTGGAATCACCTCACACCCCCCCCAGGCTTCCACGATGCTCCCCCATACCAGGAGGGGAAGACTTAAACCACCAGGTCTGTGTATTCTCCCCAGTTCCATTTCCAAGCTGCAAGTGGTTTGGGCTTACCTGTAAAACCGCAGTTGCCTGCGTTCTCTGTGCAGCATGGGTAGCAAGGTGTTAACCCCTTCAGCTGGCTGCCATGCAGCTTTTTTTCCACGGAGTAAGGGATTTGGTGGGTTTCAGTCCACAGGGAAGCTGGAAGAGGACGCCTTCTCCGCTGAAGTACTGCGTTCTGCTGTCGTGATGTTTGAAACCAGATTCTCTAGGACACGCTCTAATCCACGCTCCCGAGGTCACTGCGGACATGAACATGAGAGGCAAACCCTCCAGGTGTCAGCCCCTCTCCTCCAACCATAGCTCCCAGCTGAGGAGGCGCCAGGCCCCTGCTGCTCATCACAACCCCTCTATCCACAAACTCAGCATCCCCAGCAGACCCGCGCCAAAACTAACCCAGGGCTCTGCTCCTTCATCGGGTACCTGCAGCCAGAGGGGGATGCTGTGACCAAACTCAGAGGGGCAGCTCCACGTGGAGTTAACCCCAGCAACCTAAATAGAGCTGAGAGTTGTAGAATCATCTTGCCCGCAAGCTACCTGTAGGATTTTTGCCCCTTCCTCCTTTAATCCCTCTATCCTGCCTGAGCCCCCCCTCCTGGCAGAGGACGCACCGGATTGTCGGCATGGAGATATTCTTCACGTGCATAAAGAGAGGCAGCCAGATCCAAAAAAATTCTTAGTGCATTCCTGTAAATCTACACAGCTCAGCTTCCACCAGAGCTGACGGATTGAAAGCAACTTAGAAAAGAAAAGCACGCTGGGCTCAGTATTAAAGTATGACAGTTAAGGGCCCTTTGGTACAAGTAAATCACATTTATTATTTCAAAGCTTGTGGACAGAGTTCCTGAATCTCTACACAGTTGCTGTTCTGTACGAGCATTATGACTTAGGAAGAGAAGCCGATTGTTTTCTCTCCTTCATTCCTCAGCGTCCTGTCAAAGCCTTTCCACAGCACCTGCCACTGCCCAGGGAAATTAAGACATCTCTAGAAATCAGCTGTGGTTCTGTGAAGTCTCCTGCCTCGGCTCCAACCCAGGGCAAACAAACTCCGCTGCCACCACCGCAGTGTTACACAAGGGATATTTGGACAAGGCCCAGCGAACAGAACAGCTGTGTTCCGCACAGCATTTGTGAACAAGGTCCTAGTTATTTAAGCTGGAAGTTCTTGGCAGCTCACATTTCCAATCCAGCCTTGTTCTCTTTC